CGGCTATCACTAAAGCCCATGTATACTACGATGGAAGAGTGGTGAGTGGAACTTTTGCAAATTTAGCGATTACATGGAGAACTGTGAATGTAATAAGAGTGCCCAAAATGCCATGCAATAAAAAAGTATAATAGGATTGTTTTATTGTGATCACTGCTGTTGCTGTTTGCTTAGTTCTACCGTGAGGCCGATATAGAGACCATCGTCTACGGCAAGGTTGAGACTTTCCATTCTGAGAAAGCGCGGGTGTGGTCGAGTACATTCGTCATCCGGGCAGTTGATTAGGCGGTCCTCGAAGGGTCGCAGACGCGGCTGCAGCAGCAACCGCGTACGTAGGAACTGTTCCGGCCTGGTTTAGTCATTTTGTCCCTAATTTGGCTGTTTTGGCTGCTTTTCTTTAGGTTAGTTGTTCCTTGTCTTCACAAGGTAAATTATGATTGAGATTTCTCTAATTTTTGCGAACAATAAGCAACTGAACAAAAAATCGAACAAATACCTGAAAAAAGATCGCAAGAATACTTCATCACAAAACCAAAAAAGTGTCCATGTCCTAATATACTTCACAAAGACCATAACACAACCGATACAGTGAAAATTAGGGACGTTATGGCTCAACCACGCTGGAAACAGCTGATCGCCGCGGTCATGACGCGCCGCAGCCGCGTTAGCATCCTTTGGCCGCCTAATCAATTGCCCAGATGACGACTGTACCTTGCTGACCAGAATGTGCTTGAGCGGGTTGCAAGCTGAGTACCCGTTGCCTAGAGCCGTTTTCATTTACACGCTATTTTTTTGCGCATGAGCAATTCTACAGCCAATTCAGACTGACCTTTCTCTCTTGCTGGGGTTGTCATCAGATTAGGCTGCGTTTATACTTTGCGGCAATTTATCATGCCTTGATGCTGGCGAATTCACCATCACTACGAGGATGATGCTGGCTCAAATATAAGTGAGCGCAGGCGCAGCAGGCGATTTTTCGCGGAAATAAAAAAGGTATCCCCTTTACCCCCCTCCCCCGCGCCCCAAATTGTTGACGGTCAAAATGCGCTTCAACACTCGCGATTTCACCATGCGAGGCGGAAGCGACGAACGTGACATTCAAGTGGCGTGCACATGCCGTGACCGCACCAGTACCTATTCAATTCTGTGAGGAAATAGACTGAGCTAACTATCTAAAAAATGCCTCGCCAGCTGAGGTAGTCTCCACTTGCTGGAGTTGCTGACCCCTCTGGGGAGTCACAGTGACTTTGCATGCGCACGATATCCTTTTCCTTCAGACATGGGAACCGCCCGTTATTTATCATTCGTTCTGTACGATGAATGTCGAATGGTATCCATACGACATACAACAATGTGAGCTAAAATTTGGCAGCTGGACGTATAGTGGCACACAACTGGACCTGATGCATGTGAGTTAATTTCCTCGGGCCAATAGTGGTCATATGAGCGTGTAAGTCTCCGTAAATTGTGTCTACACTCCATATCCCGTGGATGGAAAGGGCGTGGCTACGTTCTTATTCTGAACATGGAGGCAGCTGCGCTTCTGGTGGGATATTTGCTTTGGCCAATTGTGATCTTCTCGTCTAGCACTAGACATGATAATTGCTGTCTCAAATGGAGTGACTTGCGAAAAACGCATCAGTCACCACGTTCAAATAGCATGCGCAGCCACGCCCTTCCCTTTCTTCCGTGACATAGAGTCTTTACAATTTGTGGTTCCGTATTTGTTTTCTGAACTAGAATTTACCACTGTTTCGCGAGGATAGTAATGTTGCTTGCCACTACTCCCACACCCCCCCCCCCAAACAAGAAGCCTGTGGGATATGAATTATCGACATATTTCAGCTGCTCTCGGATGATGTGAAATATGTGGTTCGTAGGAACGAGAGCGAATGGGACGTAGAGCGAGGAGTTGATGTTTCAGGCTATCAGGTGAGTGTGTAGCGGCCATTTTCAAGGGTCAGGGTATTTTTGAAGCATTTCTATTGCCTAGTATCGCATAGGTTGGTGGTCAGTCTCTTATCAGCTGTCAACAGGCAAATTCTCGCGATTTCTGCTGTCTGGGAGCCCCAAATTTCCCCATTGGACGAGACCCACGACAAGCCGCCAGCGCATTCCCAGTAATTATTCCATTACAGGAGTCGGTGGAATGGGACCTGCTTTCCGTTCTTGGCACTCGTCACGAAAAATGGTATCCTTGTTGTGATTATCCGTGAGTACTCCATTCCAAGTCATAATATTTTAATTACCGCTTTTTACCACCGAAAATAAACACTATCCACAGTAGAGTTTCTTAGAACACTTTGCGCTGGAGAAAGCCCAACCTACCTAACATCGTCCTGAATTTTCCCAATTTTCTACATTTTTCCAGAGTTTTTTTGCAGGTCTTCCTCCAATTTTTCCAGAGCTTTTTTGTACGCCTTCCTCAACCTTTTCCTGAAAAAAAAATCGCCGTCGAGCGGAAGGAGGAATATATCGTATAGCGCACTGATAACCGGAAAATTTTTTGAAAGCATTTACGATATCTATCTCTCCTCCCCCCCCCCCTCCTGCTCGGGATCCCTGGCGTACAAACATGCCCTGGTTGTAGTTCGGCAGACAATCGCCCTTTTACACCCTTCAGCGCGATGCGTTGAGGTGATTCAGAGCCCGCGGCCCATTCTGAGCCAAGTATCATTCAATTGGCCCCTGTCGATGGTCGTAAATAGGTGCATATTTCAAGTAATTCACTGGTTGTGTTTCGTATAACCTTCGTGTGTTGTGTTTTCTCCGGGTTCCTGACCACATGCGAGTATTGGGGATAGGCGGTAAGCATGAAACTTCGGTGACGAGGTCTGCCACTCCTGAGGCGAGGTTTCTGATCGCCACAATAAATAATACCAGCGGTTGCTAGCCACGCTCATGTGGGGCTCCTCCGAAGCGTCATTACATTCAGGGAGAATATGT